AGTCAGCGTCTCTGGCTTTCACTGTGAATATAGAGAGACCTGGTGTGTTGTTCTCTACAATGTAAGCCTCATATGAGCTCCTCTCAAAGACAGGCGCGTTGTCATTCACGTCAGAGATCTGTAAGGTGAGAGTGACGCTGCTGGAGAGGGAGGGCACTCCCTCATCAGAGCAGGTCACTGTGATGTTATACTCAGAAGATCTTTCTCGGTCTAATTCACTGTCTGTCACTAAACTGTAAAATTTATCGGATGTTGACTTTAACATGAAGTGGTTATTATCATTTATGGCGCAATGTACTTTTCCATTTTCAGCAGAGTCTACATCTTCCACATTAATCACCGTAACAACAGTGTTAGGTTTTGCGTCTTCTGAAATCACATTTGATTTTGACATGATATGAATATCAGGGCTGTTATCATTCATATCTAACACATCGACTATCAGTTTGCAGGACCCAGTTAGTCCACCATCATCACTAGCGCGAATATTAACCTGGAAACTTCTAGACTTTTCAAAGTCAATTTTTCCAATCAAGGTGACCTCGCCACTCTCCTTATTTATTTCAAACATCCCACGAGCATGATCTAGCATACCTGCAATTGAAAATGTTATTTTTCCATTCGATCCATGATCTGCGTCGGTTGCTGTTACTCTCACTACCACTGTTCCTATTGCCGCATTTTCCTGTATAGAGGCTTTATAAACAGACTGTGTGAAAACAGGCGCATTGTCATTAGCGTCTAAAACAGTGATGTGAATCTGCATTGTCCCTGACATCTGCGGCTCGCCACCATCCACCGCCGTCAGAACCAGAGAAACGTGTTCATTTTTCTCTCTGTCCAGCGGTGCATTCAAAACCATCTCAACGTTTTTACCGCCGTCTCCTTGATTGTTAATTTTAAGAGAAAATGTATCTGTTGGTTTCAAGACATACGTTTTTAACCCATTTTCGCCAACATCAGCGTCAGTCGCCCTGTCTAAATTAAACGTAGTGCCAATAAGCGCAGACTCGCTGATATTAAATTGAACATCGTTTGTAATGAAAGTCGGGGGGTTGTCGTTTATATCCATGATTTCAACTGTGACACTGAAGAATTCAATTGGATTTTCCAATAAAATCTGAAAATGCAGTGCGCAGGGCGTCGTTTGTCCACAGAGCGCCTCTCTGTCTATTCTCTCTTTTATCAGCAGTCTTCCTCTTTCTCTGTTCAGCTCGACGTACGCTGTGCTGTCTCTCGTAAAAACGCGTGCCTTTCCGGTCTGTAGTCTTTTGACATCTAAACCTAAATCCTGAGCTATGTTCCCGACGAAAGAGCCTTTAGGCATCTCCTCTGGAATGGAGTAGCTGACCTGCCCGAGCACTGCGCTTAAGTAGAAGACCGAGAGAAACAACGGTACTTGCCGCTTCATTGTTATGTCCGTCGCCGTCTTCGCAAGAAATCCTTATGTAAACCAGTTAGTCCTCCTTTACAAGTATTAACCCAAAATCTGCAGTGAAAAACAAGGTCTTAAAAATCCACTCAGCGAAGAAATAAACAGTCGTTCATTATGTCCATGTTTTATCCGTTCTAACCCCGAGTGTGCTTCATCGTATGTCCTCGTTCTTGCTCCAAGCTTAGATATACAGAGATCATGGGAGGTACCACTATTTATCTGCTGTAAGACTGGAAGACACTGGTGAACAGCGTCGCTCCGAGTTCGAAGTCAAAATTACACAAGAGATGTGCATACTAACCATATATGATATGTGATGGTTACAGAAATTAGTGTGGTAAGATCCCCCAAAAAATCGTCTTGATTGCAAACAAGATGCTGGGTGTTGATATTATATAGACTTGTTTTGCTGAAAACAGAGACAGTGTAAGCGAGAGGAATTGTATTTCAAAACAAAATTATTTTTAAAATGATAACATTTTTAAAAATATCTTGTA